TCTCCACCGGAAGATGATTCAATGTGTATAGTCTTCGGTGTGCTTAGCTCGTTTTCTAATTCGATTGCCAAATGCAGAGCCAAGTGGCCGTTGCTGCTTATAGGAAGGTCTGCGTTTCATCCTTTTATGCCTCGGTTCCTAATGCCTCAAGCCCGACTCTAAACCCCTCAATTGCATTTATTTTTTCATTTTTTTTAAATTTTCATGTGGTGCAATAATAGTTACATTTGGCTTGCACTGATACTCGTCAGATGACGTATCTATGTATAAAAAAGAAAGCGGAGATTTTTTTAGATTCTCCGTGTTTTTTTAATCACAGTTTTTTTCTGTTGGATTTATTACAAATTCTCACATCTGAAAAGATGTCGGTATTTTTAAAACCTAAAAAATTAATGGAATGGTTTGAAAAAAGTTTGTTTATTATTGATAAGCAACCAAATTTAAAACGTTTTAATATGCACTGAAATTTTAGCTCCCGTATCGTGATCAATCATTTTTGATTAATTTTAATTGATTTTTATTTCAGTCTACACCAATCCGTTAATGAAAAACTTTGTCTCGCAATTGTCATTAGCAATAAACCAAGCGATGACTAAAAACGCTTTGCTTCCGTAATAATTGAATTCTTGGCTTAAAAGTAAGGTTTATATCATTTCGGTGGATATTTCTTTTAATTTTATTGAAAACGTTTATTTTTCGAGTAATAGTTATTACTATGGTAATTTTTGTCAGCGTTATTATTGTATTATAATTATTATTTTCATGAAAAAAAATTTTGTTCGCTCAGCAAATATTTTAAATTAAACAAACAATTCAATAACTCTGAAAAAAAAAAAAAATTTTATTTCATACAATTCTCTACATCATAATATGTACATATTATTTTAGCTGTACGGTAATTTTATACGTATACATGGATGAATCTAAAATGAAAATTCAATATCATTAGATGTATTAGTTGTTGCGGTTATAAGGTGCTTCTAAGCCATTGCCGAGCCAATGTCAGGATGGCCGAGCGGTCTAAGGCGCCAGACTCAAGGTATAGATCACCTTCTCGGCTTACACTCCGAGTTATCTGGGAATTCTGGTCCTCTCTGAGGGCGTGGGTTCGAATCCCACTTCTGACAGTATTTTTTTTTATTTTATTTTTTTAATTTACTAATACGATATTTTATTATTAAAAAAAATTTTTTTGGCAACAAAAGTTTTTTGTTTTTTGTTTTTTTTTTTTTAAACAAAAATTTTTATGTATGCATCAATTGAACGAGTGCCTATCAGGAATCAATGGCAATAATAAAAAATTCCAAAAGTATTTTTAATTTTCCGACGTTGCTATAAATTATTTTTTTTTTCTTCTAATTTTTGCGTTTGTAATTGAAAAAAAAAAGTTATCACCTTGACTATGGCAAAGGGAAAACAAAATGCCAATATCTCTTTTTACGTTTTTTCTTTTCTTTATGATAATAGCACCTATGATATTATCCCTACCCCAAGGATCCACTATATATACCTAAGGGACCAAGAAAAAGCGAAATGTTTGCGCGTCTATACTTATATACATATAGTGCGACGAAGAAGGTGATGTTTCAGTATCTCTGTGGGGCATAGGTATAGGTACGGAACTAACATGCTCTCGGTTGGTGTGGCTTTCGGTGCTTATTTTCCTTTTTTTTTCCTTATCGTCTTTTTAAATGTGTACAAGTGCAACGCATTGCATCGTATAATACGTTCAGTGGACTGGACATGTGTGCTAAAACTATCGACCGCATTTAAGGCGAATATAGTGTCAAAAGTTGGACGAAGATAAAAAATACTGTGCTATCAAATACGAGTTTGTTTGTGTGGGTATGGGTTTGACGAATAGACGTATATTCCTCTAATTTCTAATTTTTTGTTTTAGAGGGTTTTTCGTGTTTTTCTACAATACATTTTTTTTTTTTTTTTTTTTTTTTATAGGCAAAAGCTAGATTTCTCTCTCTGGGTTGTTCTTTTTAATTGATTGGCCTGCATTAGATTGTAAAAATGTAAAGGTCACTTAGTTATTGATAATAAATTTTATCAAAGTAAGTTTATTGAATTTTTTTTTTTTTAGTGTAGCCGAAATATTGTTTTGTTAAACGTTTATCTGAGTTTCCAGCATTTTTCGTGCATGAGATCATTTGTTAATTCGAGGTTATGTATCAAAGTTATAAATGTAATCGAAAAATAGTGTTCTTAATGACTTTAATCATTTGGTTGACTGTAAATAGTTTATTTTTCGTCGATGACATGTTGGTTAATTTTTCCAATTTCATTTAGTTTAAAATAAATTAATTGCAATATTCTTAACACATGTCATCTAAATTATATTGTATATTTTTAATAACAATTCCAAACGTTACTGATCATTCATTATTTTTATGAGAAAAAAGATTTTGAAAGGGTAAAAAAACGTTGAACATAGTACGTTTTTAAATATAAATGAAATGGGTTGTTTCATAAATTTCACTATATTTTCAAATTTTTCATGTGTTTTATGTGANATAATTTGGTTTAACGTAACGGATACTCCAAACTGTATTTATAATTTATCACAAGTATTAAGTATTCAAGTATATTTGAAAAGAAATGATAATGTTAATAACCTCAACATGAACCATGATGTATGTAGGATATCTTTAAAGCAAATCTTTTTCTCGCTAAAAAATCACAAGTTATTTACTAAAGTTAAACTTCTTTAGGCGCGTTATGCATAAGAGAAAATAAAAAAAAACAAATAAATAAAAATAACCGCAGTAAGCACACAAAACACACCCAAAGCACAAATGATTGAATTTGATTTCCCTCTTGTTTCCGCGCGCCTTGGCCTTTCCACTATTCATTTAATAAACGCAGCCTTCATTTTAGTGCTGCTAAAAATAAGCATTACCCTACTCTCCTGTAATTGTTACCCCGGTTTCGAGACGTGACAAATTATGACACTCATCTGTAAAAATATTTGTCTCAACAATCAAACGAAATTGTGTGTATGAAATAAAAAATAAAAAAAAAATAAAAAAAAAAATTGTACCCAGATAAATAAATATATAAATGCAGAAAAGCTCTTTAGCCCTTGGGAGGTTTATCGATTAGCGTGGGGGCGTCTCTTTTCTCGCATATACCACACGCGTTAGCGCTCAACGCGTATCCTATATACATATATGTCTGATATGTCTGTTTCTGCTCGCGTATAGTTATATATATTATTACACAAAGTTTCCTCTCTACCACAATCACGTCGAGCTCAACAGTTGCCGTCACGCCGTCGCCGCTGTATAGTGTCAAACTCTCGTTTTTTTTTATGTATACGTGTATATATTTTGGGTTAGAACTTGACCCTCTTTTCATCCCCTTCTCGCTCCCCAATCGACGAAAACCATGATATTTTATTATTTTTTTTTTAACATCGTCCTTGCAGACGACGCGTCAAAGGTACAATAACTTTGTCGTCTGCTAAAAAACAGAATATATATATATAATATAATATATATATGTATTCGCGTTGCAATAACATAGGTGCGCGTATTATTGATTTCTGACTTTCCGTGCGCTCCGCCAAAGTGTCCTCGAAAGTGTCTGTGTGCGTTATGATAATATGATAGTGTTTTGCGTTGTCTCGCATGGATGATTCGGATTATTTTTTGCGGCACACATGTCTATTTTTAAAATTCACCTCAAAACCGACGATTCTCCTCGCAGGCGTTTACAAAAAAGTAAAAAAGCGTGAGTTCTCGCAAGTTTTGCATTAACGATTAGTAAAACAATTTTAAAAAATAGCGACGCTCGATGAATAATTTAATGGCCGTTAAAATTTGTGTTCCGTAAAAGTTGTCGTGAAGAGATAGGAGTTGCAAGTACGGCATCGTCGCCGGATATTTGTCATTGAAAACGTTTTTTTTATTGGAGGAGTAGAGAAAAAACGCAACATTCGTTACGAAACTTCCCAAGTTAAAAAATTGACGAGCGAACGAACAAGTGTCAGATTCCGGAAATATACAACACTTTATCCGTTGCGTGTGTGTCACTTTTTGTCTTCCCTTTTACGGTGTGGTAAATATGTATCCTTCGAACGCTGCATTCGTAACTTTGAAAAAAAAAAACAATCCTAGCTTCAACAGCACCCGAGAGCGTTATGTATACCTTTGTTATTGTCATGCCACACTTACATCCATCGGTAATTCATCGTCACACCTGTATCCACATTTTTACCAGCGTGTAGAAAAACACTTCTTCTCAAGTAGTTGGTGTTTTTTTTTTTTTTTTCACGTTGATAAGCCAAAAATAAGTATGCCACATTTAGGACGATGAAAATCAGTGTATAGGATGAAACGATGGTGGTGAGGACGAAGAGGAGTTTGCGACCAAACGAGGGGTGAACAAATAAATAAACATACCGAGTAGTGGATGCCGAGATGGAATTTTCCGGGAGGAAGTTCGCCAGGTGGCTGAGTACCACGAGGGCGCGCCTCGACGCCTACGTTTACTCGCGTAACCGTAAGTTTTCTTCATGTGACCTCACAAATGTTGTGCCAAAAGATTCTAATACCTATTGCAGCTGTTTTAACAATTAAAACTTTTTATACCATAAACTCACTCAATGTTTCGATGCTCCTTTGGTTTCGATGTCGTAGTGGCTTATTTGTCGAGTTATTTTCCAGTACCTACCTGTTAAACTGACAGACGATAGAAATGTTGTTGGTAACAAAAATAACGTCTGCCAAGCGCGGACCACCACTTTTTGACTTTGCACGTGTACAGTTTAAAGAATATACAATAATATCAATGTACTATGAACCAGAAATGCGATGAAATACGAGTAGCCAACAAAAGTATGGAAAAAAAAACCTACAATTGTGATCTTTTAACACATTTACGAAGCTTTGAATGCATCCCTATAGTGTCGAGGTTACAAAAAACAAATGCAGACGAACTTAATACACATAGCCTTTTAAAAAAAAAAAAAAAAAAAAAAATTGTCGCAGGTACTGGTCGAGCAGCGGAAAACGGCGGCTCATCGGTTGACCAGTCGACGGGCAATCCGGGAGATCAGCAGGACGAGCGCGTCGTCTTCATCAACGCCACCCCCCAGCCGGCGACCTACAGAAACAACCACATATCCACGGCCAAGTACTCGGTCCTGTCCTTCCTGCCGTCCTTCTTCTTCGAGCAGTTTCGACGCTACAGCAACTGCTTCTTTCTCTTCATCGCGCTCATGCAGGTATGCGATCCGCGCAACCTCATTCATTATTGTCCATCGGAGATGACAGTTTTTTTTTTTTTTTTGTTTTTCATTTTCAACAGCAAATACCCGATGTCTCGCCAACGGGAAAATGGACGACCCTCGTGCCCCTCATCTTCATTCTCAGCGTGTCGGCGCTCAAAGAGATAGTCGAGGATGTGGTGAGTAAACGCGGCACGTACAGCATACCCGATTTGATTTTTCAATAAGTAGTAACAAAAAAAAAAAAAAAACAAAACGTGTATCAACAGAAAAGGCACAGAGCAGACGATGAAACGAACAAGCGCGAGGTGGAGGTTCTGCGTGACGGTAGCTGGCAGTGGGTGCAGTGGCAATTGGTGACGGTCGGCGACGTCGTCAAGGTCCACAACAACAACTTTTTCCCGGCGGATCTGATCCTGCTGTCGTCCTCGGAGCCCCAGTCGATGTCGTTCATTGAAACGGCGAACCTCGACGGCGAGACCAATCTCAAGATCCGCCAGGCGCACCCGGACACCGCGGATCTCCTCGACACCGCCAAACTCATGGGTTTCCGCGCCAACATCCAGTGCGAGCCCCCGAATCGCCACCTCTACGAATTCAATGGCATCCTCCGCGAGACCAACAAGCCCAGCGTGCCCTTGGGCCCGGACCAGTTGCTTTTACGCGGAGCCATGCTACGCAACACGCGCTGGGTGTTCGGGGTCGTCATCTACACGGGACACGACACGAAACTCATGCAGAACAACATGACCACCGCGCCCCTCAAACGCTCGACCCTCGATCGGCTCATTAACACCCAGATCCTCATGCTGTTCTTCATACTGTTGATGCTCTGCCTCGTCTTTGCCATTTTCAACGTTTTGTGGACCAATGCCAATATTAACGGGCTCTGGTACCTGGGTCTCGACGGTACACCTATACACAATCCTTTAATTACACTCTTAATTTTCGTACAACAATGCCATTGCTTTTCAACAGAGGTGCAGGCCAAGAATTTCCTGTTCAACCTGCTGACCTTCATCATCCTGTTCAACAATCTGATACCCATATCGCTGCAAGTGACTTTGGAAGTCGTTCGCTACGTGCAGGCGACCTTCATCAACATGGACATCGAGATGTACCACGCCGAGTCCAACACACCGGCCATGGCGCGCACGAGCAATTTGAACGAGGAGCTTGGCATGGTCAGCTACGTATTTACCGACAAAACGGGCACGCTCACCCGCAACGTTATGGAGTTCAAGCGTTGCACGATAGCAGGAAAGGTGTACGAGTGAGTATATGTCCCATAACATCCAAGAAAAGTATGTACAAGTGGTTTCAAGCAAATGCTTGATTTCCTTGCAGTTTGCCGGTACAGTCGATGGAGGGTGACCTCGGTGACGTGGACTGCGAGCTGATCCAGGACATAATCCAAGGTCGCAACCAGAACGCGCCCCAGAGTTCGAACAACAAGCGAGCCAAGTTATCGGCTATCTTGCACGAGTTCATGGTCATGCTGTCGGTCTGCCATACTGTCATACCGGAGAAGGTGGACGACAACATCATCTACCACGCGGCTTCCCCGGACGAGCGAGCACTGGTCGATGGGGCCAAGAGGTTTGGCTACGTCTTCGACTCGCGGACGCCGCATTACGTCGAGGTCCAAGCGCTGGGTGAACGCGAGAGGTACGAGATATTGAACGTCATCGAATTTACGTCGGCGCGCAAGAGGATGTCCGTGCTCGTGCGCATGCCGAACGGGCGGATCAAGATTTTTTGCAAGGGCGCCGATTCCGTTGTGTACGAGAGGCTGCTCGAGGAGTCCCAGGAGGAACGAGCTGACAGTTTGGGACTCGATAATTACAGGGAGACGACACTCCAGCACTTGGAGTCTTTCGCCTCCGAGGGTCTCAGGACGCTGTGTTTTGCTTCTGCTGACATTCCCGAGGAACGATACAACGTTAGCGAGATTTTTGTTTTGTTTTTTTTTTTTTTTTCATACGTAACGCTTTCAATGCACGTGTGCTCAGTTTTGTTGTTGTTGTTGACAGTGGTGGAAGAGCATCTACGATAAGGCGGCTACGAATTTGACGAATCGAGAAGAGAAGATTGAAGAGGCCGCGAACCTCATCGAAACCAATCTCACGCTACTGGGCGCCACTGCTATCGAGGACCAGTTACAGGATCAAGTGAGTCGATGATCGCCATGAATTTTGTTTTCTTGTTGTTCGGGATACTTGTGAACGTCGGTGTTTAGGTTCCAGAGACGATAGAAGCCCTCATACAGGCAGACATCAACGTTTGGGTACTGACTGGTGATAAGCAGGAGACAGCCATCAATATTGGCTACTCGTGCAGACTGATTACCCATCCCATGCCTTTAATCATTATAAACGAGGGCTCGTTGGACGTACGTTTTGCTACTTTCTCATTAATCCTTACTTTGAAAGTATTTACGGTTTTGAAGGATAATTCATTAATATTTTAGAAAACGAGGGAAGTGATAATTCAGCGGTGTCTGGATTTTGGTCAAGATTTACGGTGCCAAAACGACGTTGGACTCGTCATTGACGGAAACAGTTTAAAATACGCTTTATCCTGTGATCTCAGACGAGACTTTTTAGATTTATGCACTTCGTGCAAAGTTGTCATTTGCTGCAGAGTATCGCCAATGCAAAAAGCAGAGGTTGTCGATTTAGTCACGAGCAACACCAAAGCCGTGACTCTGGCTATTGGCGATGGCGCCAATGACGTGGCCATGATTCAAAAAGCGCACATTGGTGTCGGTTAGTTTCATTTGTATTACTTTGATCTGTTTTTTCTTCCTCGATTTATGTAAAAAATTAATTTTATTGTTCATATTCAGGTATATCGGGGGTCGAAGGTCTTCAAGCTGCGTGTGCCTCAGACTACTCGATAGCTCAATTTCGATTCCTGAAGCGCTTACTATTTGTTCATGGTTCATGGAACTACAGCAGAATGTGCAAACTAATTTTGTATTCCTTTTATAAGAATATCTGCCTCTACGTTATCGAATTGTGGTTTGCTATTTACTCTGGCTGGTCCGGGCAAATTTTATTTGAGAGGTGGTCCATTGGTTTGTACAACGTTGTACGTATCCTTTGCAATTTTTGAAACTATTACGATTCGTACATCTCGTTAACTGTTATTTATTTCTTTCTAGGTATTTACGGCAGCTCCACCTTTAGCAATAGGTCTCTTCGATAAGGTGTGTTCGTCCGAAACGCATTTAGCTTATCCCAGTTTATACGCCGCGAAAAATGCCACAGAGTCTACGTTTAACATTAAGGTATGCCAATCGATGTCATTAAAATTTAATCATTCGCTTGAAGTTTCTTTATGTAAAAATTGATATCTTCCAAAGGTATTTTGGGTTTGGATATTCAACGCGCTACTTCATTCGGCACTTCTTTACTGGCTGTCGTTGTTTGCCCTCAAGCACGATGTTATTTGGGACAATGGCCGGGATGGTGGCTACCTTGTTCTAGGAAATACAGTTTACACGGTAAGAGGAAAAAAAATATAAAATCTTTTGATACGTAAGAGGTGGAATGAATATTCAATCGACATTTTTTTTTTGGTTAATGTTTCAGTACGTAATAGTGACGGTGTGCGCGAAAGCTGGTCTCATCACCAACTCTTGGACATGGGTGACTCACTTAGCAACATGGGGATCCATTATGCTGTGGTTCATTTTCATCTGTATCTACAGGTACGTTGGATTTGCGATTGAAATTCCTAATTTATTTTCAAGATAAATTGAAAATTGAAAAAAAAAAATTGTATTTATTTTGTTTTACAGTAATGTCTGGCCTTACCTGAATGTTGGAGCTGTGATGCTGGGCAACGATAAAATGATATTCACATCACTTGTCTTTTGGTCGGGACTCGTGCTCATTCCGTTTATTGTTTTATTGCCAGACTTGATTGTTAAAGCGTACGCATCTGTCAACACATTTCTAATCTCTCTATGGTGTTAACAAATCACTCGTCACTGTTATTTATGTTTCAGTGTAAAAAATACAGTGTGGAAATCAATCACTGAGGCTGCTAGAGAGCAAGAGATTCGAAAGTCCGACCCTGGCAATCTTTTCCACGCACAAGATTACAGGAGCTCGTAAGTTTTTCGTACTTAATGTCTCACGCCAAAAAAAAATTTTTTTTTTTTTATTTAGTAGACGGTTTAAGGGCTTATAAAAACAGAAAATTTAATTTTGATGAGCAGATCGGATACTTAATCATTGGTTGCAGATAATTCAGCGCATATGTCATTTTATCATTCATTTTTTTTATGTATTTACCCTTGAGATTACGTGGAAAAGACCCATTACCATTTACCTATAGACATCTTGCGTAAACTATCAAAGTACTATTTATGCTTTTTATATTAAAAATAACACGAGTAGTACGTTAATACACCTGCGCAAGATGCCTATACTGTACACGTATCTCGTTAATTTTTCCACAGTATGGTATACAATGACATTTACTTTCTATTATACTGATCCTCGAGGTGTTTTTATCTGCATGAGGTGACAAGTTGTTGCAACTTTTTTTTTCAATCTATACCTTTAACTCTTACCATTGAATTATACTTACCAGTTAATTATTTACAATTTCAACGACGACGACTCGCGTTAACTTTTGTTTTGCATGGCTACATTCAAATTATACGCGATGCGTACTTATAACTAACTTTATTCAGTGTATAGCTTATCGCTAATTTATTCTTTAATATTTAACATCGTAGCTACGATATTACCTTTATGACATGAATATATATATATACACAAAGGTGCTCGAAGAATATCCACGCTGAATATTTTTTTAAATAATAATGAAAGAAAAAAAAAAAAAAAAAAAAAAAAAGAAGTACAAAAAAACGCACGCGCGTGGCGTGAACCTTTTTTCTTTGAACAGTTGGTCGTTGCGACGAATCTCGTCGGTGGTCTGCCGATTAAGGAAGCGGTTCGTCATCGGCAGGCTCCTCACGATCCTCGTTTCGAAGCGTCAAGGCAATTCCACCACCAGAAGAGATCCTGCATGCTAAACCAATCAATCCACACTAACCCAATAGGTATTCCCTTATCCTTTGTTTTTTTTTTTTTTTGGCAAATTTTTTTTATTCAAGCGAGCTTTCAACTATTTTCTTTTTTTTCTTTTTTTCGTCACTGAGTTTTGAAGTGTGCCTTCAGCTGAAATCACTTGAAATATTTTTTTCTAGTCCAAGTTTTTCATTTTTCCAAGCTCCCACGCGAAAACTCAAGCATACCTTACTTGTCATAAAAAATCATCAGCAGTGCAACCTTTCAGAAGTCCGTAACATTCCTGTAGGTTCCCACATCCGGTCTCTGCTGCTTGTGATACCAAGTTCCGAAACAAACTTGCGACCATTGCCTTCGGAGTGTATATTTAATGAAGAGAAAGCACTGAAAACTCCAATGGACGCATGCTTTTACGGACACTGACCACATTTGTTACACAAAGTATTTTCTGAGGATTTTATTTATTTGTTTGTTTTTTTTTTAATATACTTTTAATGTTTGTTGATTTGGTTGTCACCCATACATTATTGTTTTTGGTATATAGTTATTAAGTAAGCGATTTATCGATGTTACATGCGATTGTTAAATAATTATGATACGCCTGATATTTATCATAATTCTTTATCAAGTTTTAATGATCCTTTTGGATGTGTATTATTACTCTCCGTTAAATTATTCACTTTTATCATGATTGATTTGTTCAATGTTATTTCAATTACTGTCTATGTAATTTTAAATGTATATTTTCTCATGTCTGCCGTGTCTCGCAATTCATTACTTTTCATATTCTTAGGTAATTGACAGAAAAACTAGTCATTTTATAAAATCATAGACAAGCACCCACAGTTTGAAATTTTTTTTTTTTTTTTTTTTTTTTAAGATAAAATTTGTAATTAATTACCAAATCAATAATCCCATACAGTACTTATTTTCGATCGACCAAAGTACACGGCCACCAACTTGTCGAGTTTTGACACTTTTACTACTTAGTTGGGGGAAAAAAAAAAAAGAAAGTTATTATTATATATTTCATACGATCCCATGCAAAATTTTCTAACCATTTCTCTCGATGGGCTGTGTTTTTGTTATTAATGCTAAATCTCTTTTCTCATTTTTTTTGTTTTTGGATTATATCGTGCAGTTCGGTGCATGCCATCGTCGATATAGCGAGGTGTAAGTACTCACCAGTAGACATTCTCTCTCTCTCTCTCTCTTTATCTCTCACACAATTCTATCACTCTCAATATATACTTACACTCTTGCATTTTGCGATTCACCAAAATATATACACCCCCACGCAACAGCAATACAAAAATGAAGTTATATTACTCGTGGCGAGGCTGGCTTGTACATTGCAAAATAAAAACTATACTCTGCTACATCGCACACTCGCTATCAAGATACGATCGATTTTACGAAAAAAAACCATGTTAATATAGAATGTAAAAATAAAAAGAATCCTCTGATAGTAATTCTTCAGCGAGAAGAACAGTAATGCACGATCACGTTGCATGTCACCATATTTTCATAAAAAATTGTTATGTATACTTTACAATTGAATGAAAAAAAATATGTACATCTATATGCGAAATTTTTGTTCCTTAAGATTGCTGAGAGAACGTACGGAGTTGGGCACATGTAATTTTTAAACTTTTTATTTACAGTGTTATTTATGCAAAAAAATAATAAATATATAATAATTTTGACGAAAAAAAGGTCATGAATTTTGGATGTCACGTGAATCTTTAGTATCTAAAATGAGATTGATTTTTCTGTTAAAAAGAAAATGTTATTGTGAATACCGATGAAAGAAAAATTTACTTTATTCAGGGGAAGCAAATTTTTTCTCTAAAGTGTTTGATAAAATATAATTGTGCCCAAGTCTAAGTACACACAGGTGGTTTTTTTTTTCTTCTTAGGTTCATATTTGTGGTGTCTTTTTTTAAAGAATTTAATTGCATCGTGTGTGTTATGTATTGACCGAAAGCTACCCTTTTTTTCGCTTGAGTCTCTGGAATGATCGAATTTTTTCTTTTACCTCATGTATGGCAGTATGTCTCCTTATACAAGGTTATCTCATGCAAAAAATGTTTCCGCCATTTTAGACAGTACAAATACCATTTACTTTTAACTTACACTGCGCTTATTTCGCATAAATTAAAACATCTGCATTGATGAAATTACCGAAAAAAATATTTTTTCATTCCACAATTAATTTATTACAAAAAAATATTTAAATTGCAAAAATAATCTTGCTATTCGACGAACGAATCGAGTTTACAATGTGCGCAACAAAATTGCTAGACGCTATAATATGTCCAGCTCGTCTCCACATAAAAAAAAAAAAAAAGATTAACCCTCAAATGATAAAAACGAAAAGTCTGCAAAAAGAAAACCAAAGAAGGAATAAACGATGGAGGAGGAGAAAAAAAAAAAAAAGAAAAAAAGATCGAAATATGAACAATTGCAGATTGACGGAGACGGCGCGGCTACTGAAAAACGTTAAAAGCGTGTTCACCAGGCGTTCAAACGCCGCAACCAGGGTTAATGTCGAGGTGGAGCTGTCACGTAAGTTTCTCTGCTAGAAATGGAAAAAAGACGACCATCCCTCGACGCGTCACGGCGCGTCCTCTCTCACGGGAGTGTACATGCATTTATTTTTTCAACAAATCACGTGAAAGAGGACACGAGCCCCGTTAATTGTATACGAAACTTGATGATGCTCCAGTACTATTTTTCCTTAGCTCTAGTGTGACTAATTCCCTCACTTGAATCACAAATCGACGAACAGAGTGTGTGTTAGTGTGTCTTTTTTTTTTTTTTTTTTTTTACATCCCCTATACCGAGAGTTTTTATATTGCTTTGTATGAGTTTTAAACTTGTAGCAAGTTGTAGTCGATCGGTTACTTTGATCGTATAGTACTTCGAGTCCTAAAATGCAGCTACGACCGTAGTAAGAAAAAGTGTTGACCCATAGTGAAACTAGAAAGAAAACAATAAAATGATTTATTTATTTTATTTTTTTTTTTTTTAATTAGAAAGTTTTCAAGCACTTTTTAGCTCAAAAACACAAGCTTTTAATACAACATAATATATACCGATGCACCTCACACGCTACCACGAACAAATAGTTTGTGCGTAGTACACACGCGTTTTAGTTGGCTAAAAAAAAAAAAAAAAAAAAAAATTTATCATATCTTTGGTGGTTTGATGGAAAAAACAAATAAAATAAAAACTTGCTTTTAGAAGTGCTTCATATAACACACTCGCACACGTATATCCACGACATGCACTGTAAATTAATAAAAAAAAAAAAAGAACCCCTCTTCTTTTTTCTGTAAATGTAGCAAATTAACGCACACACCCACGTACACCTGTTACAAATGTGATGTTGCATCAAAAAAAAAAAAAAAATTTCCATTTTCGTCCGCTTGAAAAAAAAGTTTAGTAATACAATACATACACTGAGAAAAAAAAATGGTCTAGATAGACTTTTTACACTATGTAAAAAAATAATTTTTAGTGTATGGAATAGTAATTTTCGTTGTAAGTACAGTGATTTTTACTGTTTTTACAATATAAATTACTATCCAGCAACTAAATGGTAAAAATTAGGTTGGCCCAAAGTAAGAAGTCCCTAGACGGCGGAATGACACCAGATTACCATTCCAGCACACTAATTTTTTTTTTTTTTTCTCTCAGTGTATATTCTAAAAATGTTATACTTTTGATGCAACACATCCACAGCATGCCTCATTATTGTTATTCGAGCTCGACGCAACAAAGATAAGATCTCGAAAAACAAATCAACACACACACACATGTAGAATATAAATAGAGAGTCCAAACTAACGATGATTTTGGGCGCATTGAAATATCGTGCACAGATGGCTTCGCATTTTCGCAAGAGGAGGGCGGTACAGTTTCACAGACGGACGTCATCAGGGCGTACAACACGAATCTACCGAAACCGGGTGGTATGTGAGCGACTGGTGCCGCGGCAAATTGAACCGCCTGGGCGCATCCTCGTCCACCGTCAACACCGAGGTGGCCAACTAGCGGATCCTCTCTCTCTCTTTTTTTTTTTTTTTTTTTTTTTTTTTTTTTTTTTTTTTTTTTTTTTTTTTTTTTTTTNTTGACATTTCGTTCGTCATCGCGTTATTATTAACTGTTGATTATTTTTAGCTGATGATATACTTGCATCATTAAATTTAGACAAACACGACGACGTTGCGATTTATGTGAATCGTTTCGATTTTTCGTTTCACTGTAGATGAATTTATTTCACCACGAAAAACTCACAATAAGTACATACTTTCGATTCACAACAACACCGTATATTAGTCTTCAGGAAAAAAAAAAACAACCAAAATTTTGCGTTCAAACAGTGTTTTTTCATATCTACCGATTAAAAAAAAAAAAAATATAAAAATCAATTTTTATTCAACACGACTTGGTTTATTTGCTCCCTGACTCCAAGCGCAAGCTGACGTAAAAGTTTTCCTTGTCCTCGCGGTACCTCGCCTTGAGCAGAAACTCCCGCGCCAGCGAGTGATCGGAAAACTCGCAGCCCCTCGCCCGCCTCTGACACCCCAGCAGCCAATCCCGCGTCGACAAACGATTCCTTGAAAAAAAAAAAACAAAAAAAAAATATCAAAGCTTTTAAGGAAAAGAAACAAAAAAGGGCACTATCGTTATCACTTCGTCATATCCTGTGCATCGGTGCAAGTGTATCTCGCCAAAACGTCACCGATCGAGGGTACAATAATCAAAGCGTCGCTTTCTGTCCTCGTCCGCTGCGCCTCTCTGCTTCCGAAGCTTTCGCCCAACTTCTCCGCCAGAGCGTACCTCGTGGCGTGGTGAGCCCTCAGATGCGCCCACGTCTTGCTCAGCCTGTATCGCAATGATAATTCACGGACATGAATTACAGGTCCAGCGTCTTCGAGAGCAGCGCCAGCAGGACGTTCGACCCTCGCTCGCTGAAGACGAGCCACGAGGTCACCGCGCCCCTGTGCATCGCTAAGAGCTGCCGGGCCGAAGCCTTTTATTGAGGATCGCGGAGTTTTTTCACTAAATACAATTGTTTTTTTTTTTTTTTTTTTTTTTTTTTAACGATATGAATGCTTGTGAAATAGTTGTATCTACATTTTTCTAGTCAGTTGACAGTGAAGTTTTCAATTAAAATGAACACAAAAGCATTATTGACGCTCATCGTTGTAATCAAAGTTTACCATGTCTATTCAATATTTTTTTTTTTTAACATTTTCAACAATATTTTATAAAATCATCGAACCAATATTTGACGAAGCATTCTGTCAGTGAAGTAACAAATACTACAGTATAAATAAGTACGTATAAATGTAAGAAAAAAAAAAAAAAGGTGTTAGCTGTAATTATAGACCAAGACGCCTATTGTACAAACCTTTGGATTAAGTATTGACATTTCGTTCGTCATCGCGTTATTATTAACTGTTGATTATTTTTAGCTGATGATATACTTGCATCATTAAATTTAGACAAACACGACGACGTTGCGATTTATGTGAATCGTTTCGATTTTTCGTTTCACTGTAGATGAATTTATTTCACCACGAAAAACTCACAATAAGTACATACTTTCGATTCACAACAACACCGTATATTAGTCTTCAGGAAAAAAAAAAACAACCAAAATTTTGCGTTCAAACAGTGTTTTTTCATATCTACCGATTAAAAAAAAAAAAAATATAAAAATCAATTTTTATTCAACACGACTTGGTTTATTTGCTCCCTGACTCCAAGCGCAAGCTGACGTAAAAGTTTTCCTTGTCCTCGCGGTACCTCGCCTTGAGCAGAAACTCCCGCGCCAGCGAGTGATCGGAAAACTCGCAGCCCCTCGCCCGCCTCTGACACCCCAGCAGCCAATCCCGCGTCGACAAACGATTCCTTGAAAAAAAAAAAACAAAAAAAAAATATCAAAGCTTTTAAGGAAAAGAAACAAAAAAGGGCACTATCGTTATCACTTCGTCATATCCTGTGCATCGGTGCAAGTGTATCTCGCCAAAACGTCACCGATCGAGGGTACAATAATCAAAGCGTCGCTTTCTGTCCTCGTCCGCTGCGCCTCTCTGCTTCCGAAGCTTTCGCCCAACTTCTCCGCCAGAGCGTACCTCGTGGCGTGGTGAGCCCTCAGATGCGCCCACGTCTTGCTCAGCCTGTATCGCAATGATAATTCACGGACATGAATTACAGGTCCAGCGTCTTCGAGAGCAGCGCCAGCAGGACGTTCGACCCTCGCTCGCTGAAGACGAGCCACGAGGTCACCGCGCCCCTGTGCATCGCTAAGAGCTGCCGGGCCGAAGCCTTTTATTGAGGATCGCGGAGTTTTTTCACTAAATACAATTGTTTTTTTTTTTTTTTTTTTTTCTTTACAAAATAAAAATAATTGGACAAATTGTTCAACTGTGATTTCGATTGATAAGTGCACGATGACTCGGAGATATACAAAAATTTGAGTGAGTTATGTGTTTTTATATGTATATACTGGTCCAACGCGAGTATGTAAAGACAAATTTTTTTTTTTTTTTTCAATGTCGAATACATTTTTTTTTCATATTTTTCACAATATCGTGCTTGGATTAATATAGCGCCAACGAATTGACAATTTCTTGCTTATTTGTACCAATTTTTAGGGTCACTTTACACTGTACAACCAAGTGTTTTAAAATACACGTTTAAGAATAATCAAATCTATGATATTATGGTGCATCAAGTATTCGACCAGATGTACTAATGTATACATTTTTAATACGGGAAAAACCAATACAGAAAGGCTGTAGAATGAAAAAACTCGGCTGTTACAGCCAAAGTGTGTAAAATCTGAGATATACGTCTTTGTACTTTCTACAACCATCTTACATAAAAAAAAAAAAATGAAAAAAAAGTTAATTGGCAATGCATAGTTAACAAAGTTTCGACTCGAACGTTTATCAACACTACGTTTTCATAGAAACACAAAGTTTCGACACAAAACGCTGTAAAAGTGTATTTCAACACATTTGTGTGCACGCGGGTGTAGAGGCAGCCAGATGTTCTCAAGATGTCTTGCAGACTCCTAATGCCCATCGAAACTCCCCAAAGACGTCTTTCAGATGTACATATTAGAAGTCTACAAAAACATCTTGAGAACACGGGTCGACCGGGTACAGTCCCAAATTCCACATCAGTCTGTCAGGTACCTGTAAACAGCGGGCGACTGCAGCCCGGCGAGGACCGACGCCGCGGACTGCCGATTCCCGGCCCGTAGACACCTGCTCGCGGCATTGACCAGCCTAGCCACGAGTCTCGCCCTGGCGCTCACCCCCCCGGCATCCACGACCCCACTGGCCACCAAACACGACACCCGGTGTCCAAAGGCCACCCAGGCTGCGACATTCGGCGCGCCCCTCGACGTCCTCTGCTCGACAGCCACCTCCAACTCGCCAACAGCCACGCGGATGAAGAGCACCCGGTCGACGAGGCCCAGCTGCCGAGCTATCGCCACGCTCTCCAGGTCCCAGATGCTCAGCCGCGGGTGGTCGAGCCTCAGCCGGCGACGCAACCCGGCCACCGGCCCCCGGCACCGGCATCTAGCCGGTCTCCGCTCCTGGAAGCGACGCAGCCCAGCCAGGTGCTCCCGAGTCTCGCGGTAACACTCCCCACGATCACGGGGACGATACCAGTAGTCCGGCGTCCAGAAGAGCACCGCTCCACCGCCGCCACACCGAGGTCTCGGCAGTTCAGCCAGGGACACGCTGTCGCGCAACTGCCGGCGGGAGATCGGCAGTCTCAACTCCACGGGCTGGCGTCGGATGGCCACGCAGCTGCGGGACCGGCGGCTCAACGACAACAGACGACGCTCACCCGGTTGGACGCTCCAGGGCCCGAGGCCGTCCAGGAAGTGCGGGGCTGTCGAGATATCGCGCCTCCTCTTCGGCTGACCCCTCCTCGTCCCGCCCATCTCCCACACCAGCACGCCGTCGTCGACGAGTCGGTGGACGTCGCGGACTTCGAGGCAGAGGCTGGAGATGCAGTTCTCGTCCACCCCGCGGCCGCACCGAAACAGCTTACGAACCATCTTCTTCGGGTAGCTGATCTTTGGCCTCCCCTTCGGCGAACGATCCCTCAGTTGGTCCCTGGAGGTGCGAAACGCGCGTTCACCCTTCGATCGTCGAAACCAGAGGGTCGGTGGGTCGGTGCCTCACTTGAGCCCTTCCAGACTCCTGTGGGACAGAGCGAGCTTCTCGGGCGTGTAGTTGCCGCTGTGCAGCGGGCCCAAGTACAGGTCCCTCTGGGTCCACCTGGGACGGGCCCATTGGTGGCCGGTGTCGAGCCTCGTCCGTGGGATTGGACGGGTGGTGCCGGAGGTGGAGGTACTCGCTGCGGCTGAGGTTTCGGACAGCGAGCTACCGAAGCGCCTGCGGTCCATGAGCTCCTGGACGTGCTCGCACCAGGAGCTCCAGCGGCTGGACCTGCCACCCGAACCCCCCAGCTCGTAGTACCTGGCTCTGCCATCGATTAACCTGGCGGTTGGGTCAACTGGTATGCGACGTATAGGTTATTCGGGCCAGGCGACTGGGCTTCGAAAGGTATAAGGGGGGATAACCTCGCTTTGAGCGTCTGCCGGTGCCTCCTGCGGAAGACGCTGAGCGCGACCAACTCGACGGGGTAGACCGAGAGGAGCTCGAGGCACTCTATACTGGGGTCCACGTTTTTGTGGCAATAGAACACTTTGCTGGTGTTGCGGAAGACGTCCGTGGCGACGATGAGGCGCGACCGAGTCAGGCCCAGGGCTACTTGGCGCACGCCCCTGCCGTCGCGCGTCGTTTCGGCGAACGGGGATTCCAAGAGGACGGGGTCCAACGCGAGCTCCCGGTACTCGGACCAAAGGAGCTTTTGGATCCTCGGGTTTTCATCCATGACTACCGGGGAGTTTGCATTATTGCTCAACTTTGGACGGTTGGAGGTTAGGGTCGAGTGCAGGTGGAACATTCATCTGTCCAAGACCCTATTGTAGAACAGTATCGAATAGTTCCGCAATAGGATCCAGGATAGATCAAAGTTTCACCGACTGTACCTATACGTTAAGGTAAATTCAGCACAACTCGCAAAGACCCATATTGTATATTAATATATACATGAATGTATGTATTTAAAAAATTCTCTCGTCGTTTTATTTACAGTATATAAATTATAAATCTACACGTGTATAATACATTTCAAACACAAATATTAAGTACACATCTACATTCGTACGTTTGTGATTGGTTTTAGTATATGTGTGGTTCTTTCGATTTGTTCAAACCACTCTTGTTGGAGGAAAAAAAAAAAAAAAAAAAAAATTCATATCCTAAAGTTAAATCTAATGTGTCACTTGATAAAACTTTTGCGAGGGTATTTACAATACGCACTGTTAGCGCTTTCTTAGGATTTACATTTGTACTTAAAATTAACCAAACGTCTAAGCTATGTTGTTTTTTTTTTTTTTTTTTATCTTCTAGTCATCTAATCGGAATACTTGAATATAACCAATGGTTGGAAAAAAAAAAAAAAAGTTTATTTACGTAAATAGCTCGCATTTTGTTTCTCTGTTCATTTTGCTGTTCTTGGAACATCGGAAGGTGTCGGAAAAATCCTCCAAATTTGAGACGACACCATTGACCTTCAAAGAAGTTTCGTAAGCGTCGTAATTGTCGTAAATGTCTCCTATCTCGCATATTCTCTGAAACAAAAATGTTTTGGATGTATAAAAATAAATTGGACATTTTTAACGTAGTAAACAAAACAAAAAAAAAGTGTAAATATTTACTTCGGCGTAAGATAAGAAAAACAGCTGGTTCCTGCTCATGCGTTCGAATCCTGGTAGGAGCTCCTCGTTGGAGCTCTGGACTCTTTTGTACGCCTCGAAGGCGGCTCGCAAGCCTGAAATTTTTTCATATATTTTGTCCACCTGCACCGTGTCCCTGTTTATTACGTACGCCAGTTGCCAATTGAATTTCGACACGGATTTCTGAAAGAAAATTTTTTTTTCTTCATTATTTAATCTCATTAAATCGCTTTGACGTTGCTTTTATTTGACGTACGTTGTAGTGGCTCAGTTGGTTGGTGAGGCATTTTTCCTTTAATTTGTACGCCTCGATCGTGTCCTTCGACAATCCATCGGACGTCCGCGCGTACTCGTTGTACTTTATATCATCTACGATTAAGTGTTGTTAATTTTTAATACTTTTCATACATAATAATCGTAGTGTTCAAGTATAATACCTGTCAGACTGATGTAGTCGTACAAAATCGAGCCCAACATCGATCCAAAACTACCATAACTGATTGCGCTGGAAATAAATTTTAAAAACTCGTCAATGCAATTTCCAATTTATATTACAAATAAAATTGTTTGTATTTTTCAAGTACCTTGGCAATTTGGGACTGAATAGTTTATAATTTTTCTCGTTCAAGTACTCGGTTGGAAAAACTGAAAATATAATTCATTTATTTTAATACGATTTGGATCGGTATGATAAATAAATTTAAAAAAAAAATAGATTCTGCAATTTGAACTTACATATGCGATTCAGATGACTACTCACTTCGAAGTGGTGAATCAAGGGCGTGGATTTCTTGGACATTGTCAGTGGACTGGAAAGGAAAAAATAATTCAATAACCATATTGAAACATCTTTTTTTTTTACACAATTCATCCTATACTTACTCGTATCGGCGTGGAAACTTCAGTCCCTGAAGTTTATGGATTAATGAACTCTTCTTGAACTTGATCACATTTTCAAAAAAGTTGGAATTCAACCGCACCTGTCCAAAAAAAGGCAATAATTAAAAAAAAATTAGCTTGGCAATTTTTAAAAAATAACTCACGTTTCCATAATAGCTGTTCATGAACGCTCTGTCCACCTGCCATTCGGGGTACCCGATCACCATCTGCAAACTCTTCAATTTATTTGTCGCGTAGGACTTTGTCTCCTCGTCCATCCATTTGGCATTCAGCAAAAGATCCATAAGCGCGTCTCGTACGTTGTTCATGACTTCTTCGGCCTGTAAACACAATGAATCATTCCCACCACCAATTCTCACGCGTAGGTGATTTAAATGATTTCGGAATTCATTGTGATTTCAAAACGATTTTATCATGACTTCCTCATGCTCATTTAATATGATTCTAATGTCGACCCCGGAATTATTTGTAAAAAAAAGTTATGCCCAAATACGCGTGGGATAATTAATTCAAAATTGGTATTTATCCAACTACAATCAAACAAGAAAAACCACGTTTACCTTCCATTAATGATTTTCAATACATCTATAAGTATTTTCGTTCGCTTAAATGTACAACTAAAGTTGAAAAGATTCATTTGTTTTGACTTGGATTTTGATTCCAGAATTATTTTATAAAATTTTAGTTCTAGTTCACTCGTAAATGATTTCAGTTTGATTCACGAAAGAAGTTTCACGGTCTTGGATCTAGAAATAAACTTACGTAAACTTTCTGCTCACGAGGCACGTATCTCCTGATGTACTCGTACGTGACTCCAACCAGTTGATTGTCAAACTGGTTTATGCAAAAGGTGGACCTTCGAACGATTCAAAAACCTGTCAGACGAAAACAAAGCAATTTTCGAAAGTAAAAAAGGGTTGTCCAACACACCTGTTGTGTACGTTCTCGAAAAACCGTCCCAACTCGGGGTTCAGGTACTTGCTGATTTGCGTGAGGAACTTGAAGTGCACATACTTCTCCACCGCAATCGACGGCGTGTTCCGCAGCAACTGACTCAACTTGTTGAAGTACTCCAGCTTATTGACCACGATCTTCTCCGATCCGGTTACGCTACTGCCGACAGGTGCGAGGAGCGCGTTCAGGACCTTCAGCCAGTTCATCTGAAAGTAATGAATCGTTTGCAACTCCATCCTGATGACCAAGTCCCGAAAACCTATCGATATACTTACGCCCTTGCTTTTGCCATCGTTGGTCGAGTCGTACGTTTTCTGCCACTCGTCGATCGTCATTTTGTTCCTTATTAGCGTCGTAGCGTTCTCCTCCGACATTCCCAAGGGAGGGAGGATCTGAAAAAGTGAGAGAGGACAATAAAAAACCAACTCATCGCGCAAAAAGCGTGGAAAAAAAAGTTCGAAAAAAAACCTCAAAGAGGGCGTTGTTGAATTCCATCACGTCCTCGTAATCGACCACGTAAGGATTCTCTTGGTCGTGGTCCTCGAGCAAATTGGAGACGATATCGCCAAAGTACCTGTACTTCAGCAGACTGTGGACTGAGTAAAAGTACAGCGGAGACGGTGGAGCTAGCTGCGCACAAAAAAAAGAAAAATTTCGTTTATAAGATCAACACACGATTTCAGATTCTTAGTAAGATTCGATAACGACTTCAAATTAGATTCATCGGTAGAGCTAATGAAAAAAAAAAATTGCATCCTGTTTATTTTGATATCAAGGTTTCATACATTTTCAAAATGGAGGCAAATTTTAAATTAGTAAATCCGAAAAATCGTTACTTATATCTTAAAAATGTCTTCATGACCACAGAACCCAACCCTGCGTACAAAGTACTAAGGTTTTTAAAAAAACGTTTTATAAACAATAAGCCTAGATTTCATGATGATTTCCTCATGATTTCATCGAGGACTACCATATGAAATCTTGGATGGATAAGGAAAAACTCACAGTCACAATATTGGCGTTCGAGTTTTCCGGGTCGCGCGTGACGCGAACGTTGAAAAAGGCGTGCTCGAAACCCAAAGATGCGTAGTAACCATCGCTGGCCTGCCAGTCGGCAAACTCGAACTCGTGGCCCCGGCGAAAGAGATTCCGGCCGTTCGACGTTTTCAGGATCCGCGAGAACTCGCGCTTCGTTCTCGAATCGTTGTCACCTGCAAAAAGATAACGATTTTTTTTTTTTTTTTTTCGATTGATCGGTAAGAGAAAAATCACGTTTTATTGTTCCACGCACGTTGTTCCATGCAGCTCCGGTAGAATTTTTTCTCGAACGCCAGCGATCTCGTCTGCTTCCTCTCGATAGACGGTGATTCCAGGATTTCTATTGATCACACAGAAACATATTTTTATTCATTTTCAATTAAATAGATTCAAGTAACGATAAGTACGTACCCTGTATCTCCTTAATCCAAGAGCTCGTCTTGTTTTGTCTCCTTCCGCACGCGTAGGTGAAAAAATCATCGCAAGGCTGGGACGATTTGTTGACGCTGGCAAGGAACAAATCGGCTGCGAGGGGGAAGAAAAAAATGTTTTATTGCCGATTGTAAAAGTATCGACAAAAAGGATGAAAAAAAAAGACGCTTACCTACGTCGTTGCAGCGCTCGTCGTTACATACGTCGCTGAGATCGTGAGAGACGTAGTAGACCGACGGCTCGTACCACTGACCTATCGGTTCTCTGCGCTGCTCGACGATCTCGCCAGCTCCATGGACGTCATGATGGGTGATCTCGAGCGCGCAAGCCAGACACACTATTGCGTTGAAAATTCTGTGGAGAGAATTTATTTATTTTTTTTTTTTTTCATTCGTGCATTGAATAATTATTAGTCCCGTGGCTCGATCGGTGATTTTAAAGTTTTCGGTAAATCCATGCGTATTATAATCTCTACGCGTTGAGATAACAGCGATATATATTTGGATTAAATTATCGTCATCTGTACATAATTAACTTTTACAACTTTTAATAGGAAGAAGAAAAAAATTGTTGGGCGAGGGCTACTTTCTGTCGTTAACTTTGCACGTTTTTAAGTGCGTAACATCAGCGACAGGAATTTTTTGGTCATTTAATATACTCAAAGGGTAATTTTTCAAAGGCTTACTATTAACACTATTGTGAAAATTTTCGTAGAAAACAGAAATTTTAATTAACGCACTTGGATTTGTATCGAACAAACTGTAACGCACTTGGCAGACAAAATGCACAATCATTATTTTTTTTTTTTTACTTAACCACTGATAAATAATAATAAAAAAAAAAAAAAAAAGAAAAAAAGAAGAACCGTAAAACCAAAAAGGACAAAACAAATTCACTCACGAGACGGTACGTCGGAAGCGCAACATTTTCGGGGCTATTGGAGGCGCGCTACTGCACATATAACACAAAAGCGCGCTCGCGTGATCTCCACACCGCGCGTATATGTATATGTATAGGTTTTTCAGAGCTCGTGATACTTAGTTGCTCGCCGTACTGAAACATCATTGGGAAGGACGCGCCATTTTATATCTATAATTTTTTATCGTTCCCGACTACATTTCTTTCGCGCCTCCGCCGCCACAACACTGTCAGCGTTACGCGCCTCTTCTACGTCTTCTTCTTTATTTTTTTTTTTATTTTTTTTCCCTACTTCTCTCTGCTTCGTTTTCTCTCTCTCTCTCTCTTTTTTTTCTTTCTTCTTCTTTTTTCCTCTTATTCGGTTTATTTTCATTGGGCGTGTGCGTACAAGTACAAAGCAATAAACGCTTCCGTCAGACCATCTTTTTCCAGGAATCGACGATGGGTTTTATCATTGCATCATTCGATACACATTTCTTGCCAATTAAGAAAAATCATTGCAAACGAAATCTATTGCGTTTAGTTTGAGTTTGAAAAAAAAAATTTTTTTTTTTATATCCGTACACCGCCGCGTGGAGGATTAAAATTTTAAATTAGAATGACGCAATTTGGCATGTTAATAGTGCGATGGCGCTGTAACATGGGAAAGCTGAACGTGAACTTTGTTCTTGGAAAACGCGCTATTCGTTGGCTCTTTGATGTACATTTTTACGTGGAATTTATTTAGTAATTTTTTTTTTTTTTTTTTAATAAAACGATCTTAGCACGAAACTTGGATATTTTACATTAATTCCATCACTGCAGTTGTGTTACTTACGCGTACTTACAAATAAGAGCATACAATTATGTTTTATGTAATTTTTTAATGAACTTAAAACAAACGTTTTTATCAAGCTGTTTCTACATTCCAATGATGAAAAAAATAAAATCAAATACTATTACTCTAATTCATTTCAATATTATATTTTAACAATTGCCAAACAAATCATGGGGCAATTTTCAATTAATATATTACATAATAAATAAAAAAGCGTCAGTCGCGTGACAATCAATTTTTTAGGATATGATGAAATTTGGTTCAACTTAGGGAACACATGAGCACAGTCACGTGTATGTAAAGTTCAATTCCTATAGCTAGTCGCGTCGAGATAGAGCACGATTTCAAAGTTATAAAATGATAAAAATATGCGTTACTTAATGATGTACCAGTTCAAGCAGTGTATTTTATTTCCGTGAAAGACGCACAAAGACGTAATATGAGTCATCTCTTCGAGTGGCTTCATGCGATTAAATGCTATCCTATAAGATAATAATTAAATAACAATTTCATAGTATACCATACCAAAATATTAAAAAATACACCAAAACGATTGATTTACACTATCGTGTATTCCGATTAGATTTTATAAGAAATATCAAGCAACCGTGAACCACACAAATCTACGCAATGTCACGCTCGTAAATACATTTACATTGATTTACGAATATCATCGCTATCCACCTATCCTTCGTCGCTTCGACTAAAACAAACAAAATTCCAAAAAAACTAATTTTAAAGCATCAAAGAAAACCGTACGGTTGAAATATTAAATTAACACTCGTAAAAATAGCCCGTGGCTTATAGAAAAATCCATGTATACAAAAGGTGACGCGCGCGTCAATTGATACTCGCGTTTTCCCGCTTGTACGAGTCTTTTGTAAAAATATTATCGAATGCGTATATTACATCAATTACGCATCTGAATGAACTCGATGGTCTTTGCGAGGATGACGATGGTAACGCGCTCACGGATCGTATGTTCTTTATTATGACTCCTTTTCTTTTTCAAGCCAAGTGGGATAAGGTATTTTTTTTTTTTTTTTTTTTTTATCATAAAGACGTTTTTTACGTACAACCCTATGCATCACCATATCGGAGACAACAAACGTGCATCAATATATACGTATATATTGGAAGATAACTTTAATCGTTTGAATATGCGTCATAGCTTGTTTGATTTGTATGCACGTATTATTTTTGGGTGCAGATAAGTTTGGTGTGATGAAAAATCGTCAACTAAAGAGATAAACTAGACTGCACAGCTATAAAGATTAAGCGAAATAATACAAACGGCACTGTGCATTGAGATTCATGTTTGTAGTGTTAAAAATGCTCGATATGCGAGCATAAATTTTTTTTCTTTTCTTTTTTTTTACTAATTATCGTTACAACTTTCGATATGATACGTGTGGGAACGAATATCCACGTTTTTGTGGTTGTTTATGTTATCGAGATCTAAATTTTTTTTTTTTTTTTTATGCATGTACATTTAGATGTGTTTTATTATTGGAAATAAATAATTAAATTAATACGAAACGAGTGGCAGAACTTATGAGAACAAAAAAAATGCGACGTATGTATTGTAGTTTATTATTTCTAAAAATTTTAAATAAAACAGCTGGATGTTGCAAAATGATTTTTTTGATTTGGACTATTTTTGTCGTTTAAATAGCTAAAATGAGATACTAAAAAATTGTGTACCATAAAAAATAGTACATACTTATACAATTCCAAAAAAGTATTTTTCAAAGATTTACTGATTTTAATCAAAAATTTTTTTTTTTTTTTTTTATTTGAGTAAATTTTTCGATTATCAATATTTATTTCATATTCTAGAGTTAAGTACATTGAGACTTACGAAAAATATTTATTTTCTTCTGAGACCCATTTGTGTTGAGTGTCAATTTGTCAAAACGTAACTTTCTATAGTACAATAACGAAGTTATCCACCGATTTTGAGCTTCATGTGATGAATTTACCTATATAACACATTAAAGTACTATTTCCAAAACTATAATATCCTCTAGGATTTCTTTATTGTAACATAAAATTAATATTGTACCCACACAACCCGAATAAAAACTAAATTAACACGTGTCGCTGATGCATTTTTGATTTTCCAGTTAAATAACAGAATTTTACACTGTTTTTAAAGAAACGAATTTTTTGCTAACCATTATAATTTTTCGGAGATAACTACAGCTTTTTATACTTTTTGAAAAAATTTTTCAGCACTTAAAATTTTTTTTCATCCAACAAAATGAGTGGATTGTTATAACTTTATTCAATGCAATTTGATATCAAGCGGATTAAAAATTATTAGAACCATTAAAAAAACTATTTCTGAAAATCTTAAAAAATTCCATACTATTTAAATGAGAAATAAAAATGCACCGTCCGTTTTCATGATTAAGATCTTAATTTTTGGCTACAGTGAAGAATTTTTAGTGGGTACGAGACTAAAAAATACAACTAATACACATTAATAACATTAACAATTTCTTTCACCTTAAGTGGTTGCACTTTTTGCCCTCCCGCAAACAAATGTAAGCGCCTAAAAATGAAATTCACACGCTTCATCGGTGACTTTAGCCACGTTATCGATTCGATTACTTTTCGAAAATACCGTACATACATACAAAAATAAAAAAATGTATCCAAAACATCATCCGACAGTAAGCCAAGCAAAAACACCACGAGCGTAAATTTCGTCATTCTAATGCATCATCGGATCTTTATATTTATACGATATAGTAATGACCTCCCGCGGCACTAAACACGCGGTTTGTACCAAACGCTCATCTCGACATTCACGAACTTCCGGCCACTCAATAAAACAACATATTACATTTGCCCACGTACATGCGTTTTCATTGCCAAAGAACAACTTGCGCGTCCCGAGATAAGCGACACTGATTTCTCGGTAATGCGAACAATAACGGAAGCTCATCTACGCGTTACGATCGATAAAATCCTTTACTGATCGGTTTGCCTCAGTTATCCACTTTTTCTTTGAAATAAGAAGCAAATCGTAAAAAAAAAAAAAAAAAAAAAAAAAAAAAAAAAAAAAAAAAAAAAAAAAAAAAANAAAAAAAAAAAAAAAAACTGTAGTAAAGATGGATTTCAAAACTAATGCCCTCCGTTATATGAGAACATAAGATACAGATATAATGGGCTGTGGTATCGGTAATCGGTTCGTCGACCGAGTTACCCGTTAGAGCAAGTCGTTCGCGCGCGTGTCAAAAGTCGAAAGTAACAAAGTTTCGATTACGATAACGAGCCCTCCTTATTATCATCACTTCGGTGTGACCGGTATATATATGACATACAGATGCATTACCGTTCGATCACGTTTAACAAGTGCGATCGATTGTATGAGGGAAAAAAGGGGTCAATAAATCACGCGTGCTCGCGATCTGACTTTTATTTAGTTAACGTAACTATGTGATTCTGAATAAGACCTTCGGATAACTCTTATCGCAGTTTTTTTTTTCTTTTTTTTTTTATTAGGTGATACGTTCATGTAATATTCAGATCGGTACATGAGCTGTGTATATACGTGATTGCTCATGGCGTTTTGTAAGAGACGATGCGTTGGATAAGTTTTTGTAATCGCTGTACCGAGAAATAAAGATTTTTTTCCCTATACAATATCTTTGTGATTAAAAAGTTAAAAAGAAAGAGCCGAAAGATCGATGCTCGTACGTCTGAATCGAAGAACCGATTTTTTCTAATAACCAATTTAATTTATTGTAAATTTCATTACTTCGTAGAGTATAAAAAAATATTGTATAGACTATTGTTAATACCAATAAAAACGATAATGACAATAATAATAACAATAATAATAATGAACAGTCAACATTTATATACATGTAAAAAATTCCTATATCAATATGCTCAAGTTGACCCTCGTTAGGGGTTTTTTCTTATCACAGCTAAAAAAATTTATTACCATTGATTTTATCTAATCAAAAAAAAATGTTTCCAGAATGATAAAACAATTCATAAATCCTTTAAAAAAAAAAGTTATGACCCCAATGACAGTTTTTACGTAACATTTATAAGAAAAAACTAAATTATACTTTTTATTCACAGGAATTTCGGGTCGCAATTTAAATTTGTTATTTTAAAAGTTTAAGAGAACGATAAATGTTTTAAAATCATCTAACTTCTAGGTCTTGTAATTTTTCTTGAAAAATTAAAAAATTATAAAATCCCAATTTTTCCTCTATTACAAAAAGCTTGACCTATCAACTAAAAATACATTGAATAAAAGAATTTGGTGTATTGGTGTGTAAATTTAATTTCCTTCCTAAAATACTGCATTTTTTATTTTTTAAAATCATATACGAGTAGGTACAAGTCGCCGTCATTATT